TGACTGGGTGAAATGATTCTTCTTCATTAAACTGCTGGTTTTATTTATGTGCAAATAGTTTTTCTTCTCTCTGACTCTTAACTCATATTCCAACAATAAAATCATTAGGGAGAATTTAGGCAATTTCGTAGGTACTAGACAGGGAATGGGTAGAATGAAAAACACATCTCACCATAGAGATCAATTAAAGAGCATATTTAGCCCTATTTTAAAAGGATTATTCCTTCTGGGGAGACCCACATCCACACAGGAATCACAGTTCATTTAATTGCATCTTATCAAATATTTGAGTACAGATCATTAAGTACTTGAGAGAGGAATACTAAATGAAATATTCTAAAATCCTGATGATCATCAAACATTACAATCAAGTAAATATGAAACTTAAATGCTTTTTTACAAGGCATTCATGGGTCTTTTTCAGTCTTCATTTTGCTGGACAGAAAACTAAAATTCTAGATAGCTTAGTTCAGCGTTGGAAGTGCGGTAACCCCAGACTTGAGAGAGAAGGATTCTGAGTTATTGCTTCTACTGCAGATTAGCAAATTAATCTTTGCCAAGAATAGCTAGGAAGAGTCCAGCTACCTGATTAACAGAGGGAATTTAAAATTTGAGTCTAGGTCAAAAATTGTTTTTTTAATGAAGAGAATTGTAAATTAATTCTAAAACAGATTTTCTAAACCTGGTACAAGAAAATTGTTTTCCAGATTAGGAGAAATCAGTTTGTCCACTTTTAAGAAGCTCATAGTTAGCTGGGTGCTGTGGATCACACCTGTAATCCCAGCACTTTGGGAAGCTGAGGCTGGTGGATCGCCTGAGCTCAGGAGTTCAAATCCAGCCTGATCAACATTGAGAATCCCTGTCTCTACTAAAAGTACAAAATTAGCTGGGCGTGGCAGTGCATGCCTCTAATCCCAGCTACTTGGGAGTCTGAGGCAGGAGAATCGCTTGAACCCAGGAGGTGGAGGTTGTGCTAAGCCGAGATCACACTATTGCGCTCCAGCCTGGGCAACAAGAGCAAAACTCCATCTCAAAAAAAAATAAAAAGAAAGCCCTTAGTTGATTAAGAAGGATAAATTAGATGTAGTCCATAGATAAATATAAAATATATGCTTTATTATTTTCCTATTATATATGAATAATAGTAATTATATTTCATTTTCTTTAATGCATTTTTTAGAACTAACCTCTTTCAGCCATTAAATTACTGTTGTTGGCCAGGCATGGTGGTTCGTGCCTGTAATCCCAACACTTTGGGATGCCGAGGTGGGAGGAATTGCTTGAGCCCAGGAGTTTGAGACCAGCCTGAGCAACATAGTTAGACCTCTTTTCTATAAAAAATAATAATGATAATAAATAAATTACTGTCGCTCTCTGATCATAGTTGCAGTTGGATAATTTAAACAATGTTGGTCTGTAATTATTATCAAATTATTCTAACTTATTGAATATGTCCAAATATCTGCTGGAAGTGATATATCTTTTGGATTTTTTATATTTTTCCCATCCTCATCCCACCCAGAAGGAGTTTCAATACCCAGCGGAATCCTCCCAGGTCTTCCTTCATCCCTCTTCTGATTCGATGTGATTTCATCTACCAGGATAGCTGTCTGTTGCATTCATAGCCCCAGTAACAGAATTTAACCAGTCTTTTGTCTAAAAAGTTTGAAGTTGTATCTTCAGGCCTGAAGACAGTTTTTGCAAAGCCTACCAATTCAATGTACTGCCCCATAAATGTCTTTGCTGTGTATTCTGGGTGAATCTTTAATGGGTCCAAAATTCTGTAGGCTCTGCTTACTTCAAACTTTACCTCCTGTGAAGAAAGAAGGCAGATGATGTTTTCTGTTGTAACCCATCAGGTAGCAAGATGCTGTATGATAGAACCACATAGGTTTGCATATCTGAACTTATTAATCAGAGCTGCTTCCTTTTAGTCCTGTGTGTCAGTTCAGTTTGACAAAAGACAGTGATAGAGACTCACATGGGAAAGGGCATGGAGCATGCTGGACAGGGCAATTAGCAGAATTGAGAACAGCTGTGAGGTCCTAAAGGACAGGGGCCAAGTCTCACCTGTTGTGACATTTATTTTTTTGAGACATGATCTCACTTTGTCACCCAGGCTGGAGTGCAGTGGCACAGTCTTGGCTCACTGCAACCTCCGCTTCCCAGGTTGAAGCAATCTCCCACCTCAGCCTCCCAAGTAGTTGGGATTACAGGCACATGCCACCATGCCTGGCTAGCTTTTGTATTTTTTGGTAGGGGGTTTCATTATTTGGCCAGGCTGGTCTCGAACTCCAGACCTCAAGTGATCCACCCACCTCAGCCTCCCAAAGTGCTGGGATTACAGGTATGAGCCACCGTGCCCAGCCTTGTGACATTTATTCCACGCACAATTTCAACAGGCAAAGTTGATAGTGAAGGACACCAGGCAGGTGAAGATCACACAGGTGGCAAGGATATTAAGGGGTCTAGCAGGCAAGAGAACAGTATCCCATTGGTCTGCATCTATACATTTGGAGAAATAATAAAATACAAGCTGGAAGGGTGGCACGCCATCACATGGTAGAAGGTCCTAAATTCAGTAGGCAATGGAAATCTAATGAGAAATTTTAAGCACAAAGACTGTCATGATTAGAGCTGGAAGTGTTCTTTAGGAGGATTAATCTGATAGTGCATTGAATATAGGATTATGAATGATTATCAGGAAAACCCGGGAGTCAACCAGTTAGGAGGTTTTGTGACAGTCCCGGTGAGAGGTGACAAGGCCTTGTAGCAAAGACAGCTGGTGCTACATCTTTACCCTCTTGGCACTTCCCATTCCCGTGCATGCCTTTTTGAGGGCTTCCTGCATCTCTGTGACTCAATGGCCTTCTGTAGCCATTGGTGCCTGCTGAACTGCACTTAGGGTAGATCAGAAGTACCAGGGAGTTAACATCCTCCAGGAATGCCTTCAACCAATGGCCAAAAGGGAATTGGTGGATAAATAGCTCGTTTGCCATTCAGTGGGGATCACTGTAAGCCTTGCTGAACACAGTCTCCCAGACTATCCCAAGGAGCTTGAATCCCAGTTGCCCACAGCCATAAACTGCCTGATATCATTTTCCTTATTGACTTCCTGCCTTTCCTGGCTCACTTTGCCACTCTCCTGCGGGTGCTTCCTGGTGTAGCCTTCCAAATGAACTGCTGGCACTCACATCCTTGCTTCAGGGGCCCTTTTAAGAGAATGCAGCTTACCAGCCCTGTACTAGAGTGGAGAAGAATTTCCTTTCACTGAGAAGGAAAACTACAGGATTGGGCAGTTTATCAGCTATGTGGTTAAAGGAGAGGGAGAAAACCATGTCGCCCACAATTTTAACTAGGAAAATGTAAGTGCCGTTTATAGGAAAATGGGAGGTTAGGAAAAGCATTGGGAGTTTTCATGAAGAAGAAAGTGGGTTAATTTTTGTACATTTTGAGTCTGAAGTACTGGTAGAACAATTACAGGGCAGCTGTCTGCTGGCACTTGGAAATTTGGATCTGGTGCTGAGGATGAACGCGACAGTGGAGGTTTAGCTTCAGTCACTGGGGAGAGGTGGTTGATGAAGATACAGGAGTAGATAAGAACTTCAAGAGCTGGGTATTGACCAGAGAATGAGCAGATGGAAGCCTAAGACAAAACTTTTGGGGCCGGGTGCAGTGGCTCACACCTGTAACCCAGCACTTTGGAAGGCAGAAGTGGGTGGATCACCTGAGGTCAGGAGTGTAAGACCAGCCTGACCGACATAGCGAAACCCTGTCTCTACTAAAAATACAAAAATTAGCTGGGCGTGGTGGCAGGCACCTATAATCCCAGCTACTCAGGAGGCTGAGACAGGAGAATCGCTTGAACCCAGGAGTTGGAGCTTGCAGTGAGCCAAGATCATGCCATTGCACTGCACTCCAGCCTGGGTGACAGTAAAACTCCATCTCAAAAAAATAAATAAATTATTTTTAAAGTTATGCTGGGCCAGGCACAGGCTCATGCCTGTAATCCCAACACTTTGTGAGGCCAAAGCAGGTGAATCGCTGGAACCCAGGAATTCAAGATCAGCCTGGACAAGATAGCAAGACCCCCCTCCCCTGTCTCTACAAAACATTTTCTTTTTTTTTTTTTTTTTTTTTTGAGACGGAGTTTCGCTGTTGTTACCCAGACTGGAGTGCAATGGCACAATCTCGGCTCACCACAACCTCTGCCTTCTGGGTTCAAGCAATTCTCCTGCCTCAGCCTCCTGAGTAGCTGGGACTACAGGTGTGCACCACCATGCCCAGCTAGTTTTTGTATTTTTTAGTAGAGATGGGGTTTCACCTCGTTGACCAGGATGGTCTCGATCTCTTGACTTCGTGATCCACCCGCCTCAGCCTCCCAAAGTGCTGGGATTATAGGTGTGAGCCACTGCGCCCGGCCCAAAACATTTTCTTTTAAATTCTCTGTGTGTGGTGGCATGTACCTGTGATTTCAGCTACTTAGGAGTTTGGAAGTCAGAGGATTGCTTGAGCCTGGGAGGTCAAGGCTGCAGTGAGCAGTGGTCACGCCACTGTAGTCTAGACTGAGTGACAGCGCAGGACCCTGTCTTACCAAAAAAAGAGAAGAGAAAAAAAAGTTATTTTGACTTTGAGGGTACGGGTTGTTTTTTGTTTAATAGAAAGCACAATTCTCTGCTTTTTTTCCTAAATTGTTCTGTTTAAGTTGGAGACATATTTGAGTATGGCACTTTAAGGTATTTGTATTGGTCTTGCCCCATCTGCATGAAGCCTTCCTTGAATGTTCCTTTTTGCTAGTGCCAATCTAACTGTGCTGACTTTAAATGGCATATGTGTGCACTGCAGGATAGGAAAAATGATAAATTGTTAATACTACAGTACGTGCAAACAAAGGTTATTTTCTCATATTTATGACTTCTTGCTCCTGTTTACATTTCTGCATTTTATAAATCATTAACCTCACATTGTAATTTTTGTGCTTTACTTGTCACTACTTCCAGACACCAAGGACTTACTGTTGTGCTAACACTGAAGACCTGGAGACAGTTATTCACCATGTACACAGCCTGTACCCTTCTGCTTCTTTCCTGGCAGCAGGGGTTTCAATGGGAGGGTAAGGTTTTCCCTTTCTAAAATAATTATCTCTGAGAGGGAAGCTATTTTATGGGCTGTCTCTTTCAGAGGACTATACGCCAGCTATGTAGACATTTTTTAAATACATGTCTGATTATCATATTTTATTAAATGCGGTTGATTGAATGAACAAAGGAAGGAAAGAATTAATTCAGGTGAATTTTAATATTTTTCTTAACTACGTGTCTCTGTGACTACGGATTTTGTGAACCTGAAGGCTTGTCTGAAGCCCATAAAGTCAGTTGCATCACTCACTGGCTGCCATGTTGACCTTCTGATTCCTGGTGCACTCCGAGCCATCCCTGGAGCTGCGTTCTGAAGCTGAGCTTGTAGCATGACTTTCTTCACTCCAGTTGCAGAAATAATCACTTCTTGCTCTCTCCAGCTGCAGTGGCCTTCAAAATGATTTTTCCCCAGGTGGTATTTTGTTTTGTTTTGTTGCTGAGCAAATGGACCTACTATGGAGTGCTCTCCTAGAAACTGAAATTTTGTTAACCCCCTATTCCAGCTGCTATTTTAAGCATATGGATATTATCATTTGTGTTGCTTGCCATTACTTTTGGGCTTATTTGGAACTTTTCTATTTAGGCTTATTTCTACTAATTGTTTTTTGGGGTTTTTTGGTGTGGTTCTAATGATAGCTTAAGGAAATCCAAAATTTTTATTATTTTGAATTTTACTATGCTTTTAGATCCCTAAGCCATTGTCCAAAACTAGTTTTTTAAATCAGCAAATACTTAAGATAGAAAATTATATTTGTTCATAGTTTTATAATTGGTTTATGTCATTTCAGTTTTTAGAACATCTTAGGAGTTTATTCACTTGAAAATGAACAGCATTTTTCTATAGCCAGTGGCTATGAATACAAGAAGAAAAAAATTAATTTTTTGTAAAAAGAAAATGAATGGCATTTATAAATGATAGACTCTAAAAAACAGGCCTTTAACCACAGCTTTTTAGATTTCGATAAACATAAAATGAAGAAGAAAAGAATACATTTCTCACATTAGCATGGAAGGTCTGACTTGACCTACTAAAGGAAGAAATCTCAGTCAGTGGAGAAAACCCAGGCAGAATCTCTGAATTGTGCTTAATGGACAGAGTTTAGCTTCTCTTTCCTTTCCCCTGTAATGTGAACCTTAAAGGACAGGGTGAGAGCTGAACTTTTTCCCTTAATCATGTAACTGCTTGACTTTTTTAAAGGCCAGAACTTACATAAACAGATCCAGATTCTCTATTCAGAATCCTGGGAAATGTCTATTCATGCCACATTGAAGCCTCAGTCCCTGAAGGCAGAACTTGACCATTAGCCTTCACAGCTGGTTGAATATTAATGTCTTGTGAATTGTTTGATGGAAGCACCCCTTCTAGTTGCCTAGCACTGTGACATGTTCCCAAGTGGGCTCACCACTTGGGGATGTGTTTTATATCTTGACACATTTTTTTCTTATGGAGATGCAACACACAAAAACATAGTCCATGAATGATCCTTATGCCCAGTGCCCTGTGGACTGAGGTAATCCCTGTGATAAAGGCTGTGATGCCCCCGGGGCCAAGTGCCAGCAACTCAGGGATCATCTTGTTTCATCAGTGTCATCCCCCCTTCCCTCCCAACTCTGATTATTGTGAACCAAATCTCAGACATCACTTATAAATAGTTGGTATCTCTCAAAGATGGGCCAAGCGTGGTGGCTCACACCTGTAACCCCAGCACTTTTGAAAGGCTGAAGAAGGCAGACCACTTGAGGTCAGGAGTTAAAGACCAGCCTGGCCAACATGGTGAAAACCTGTCTCTATTAAAAATACAAAAATTAGCCAGGCATGGTGGCGCACACCTGTTATCCCAGCTACTCAAGAGGCTGAGGCAGGAGAATTGCTTGAACAGGGAGGTGGAGTTTGCCATAAGCTGAGATCACCCTACTGCACTCCAGCCTGGGCAACAGAGCAAGACTCCATCTTAAAAAGAAGGAAAAAAAAAAAGGCCAGGTGCAATGGCTCACACCTGTAATCCCAGCACTTTGGGAGGCTGAGGCAGGTGGTCACAAGGTCTGGAGTTCAAGACCAGCCTGACCAATGTGGTGAAACCCCATCTCTCTAAAAATATGAAAATTAGCTGGGCGTGGCAGTACACGCCTGTAGCCAGCTACCCAGGAAGCTGAGGAAAGCGAATTGCTTAAACCCAGGAGGCTGCAGAGAGCCAAAATCATGACACTGTACTCCAGCCTGGGCAACAGAGCAAGAATTCATCTCAGAAAAAAAGAAAGAAAAAACAAAGGCCGGGCACAGTGACTCATGCCTGTAATTCCAGCACTTTGGGAGGCTGAGGCAGGAGGATTACCTGAGGCTGGGAGTTCAAGACCAACCTGACCAACATGGAGAAACCCTGTCTCTACTAAAAATGCAAAATTAGCCAGGCATAATGGCCCATGCTTGTAATCCTAGTTACTCGAGAGGCTGACGCAAGAGAATCACTTGAACCCAGGAGCTGGAGGTTGCAATGAGCCAAGGTGGCACCTTTGCACTCCAGCCTGGGCAACGAGTGAAACTGTCTCCAAAAAAAAAACGAGGTAGAGTTTATTTAAAAAAAACAAACAAGAACCAAAACCATACCACATTATCATTACACCTGAACACAATTAACACTAATTTCAAACTATCATCCAGTAATCAGTAAGTGTTCACATTTCCCAAATAGTCTGTTTGCTTGTTTGGTTTTAGTTTAGGAGCCAGAAGAAGTCTCAGTGTCTCTCTCTCTCTCTCTTCCGCCCCGTTCTCTCCCACCTTCCTTCCCTCCCTCCCTCCCTCTCTCTCTCTGAGCCACAAAGTCTATATGCTCACCCCGCCACCCTCTCTTAGCTTGTAGTTTTTTTTTTTCCTTTGGTGAGAAAATAGGGTCCTTTTCCTATAGAAGTAAAACAATCTTTATCGAGGAGAACATCTTGGCATCATTTTGTTCCTGAGTAATAACCACGGTGTATCCCCACCTGCTTGGTCATAACTACTTGTGAATCTTCCTGCTTCTGAGTTTCCCTTCAAGTCCTTCCAGTTTGTGCATTTTACCAGCCCCCCAATAATATCTGACCTCTCATCAAAGAGTACGGCCACCAAAACTAGGACGCTCAAATGAACCCTTTGGAGAAGAGTAAGCATTGTCCTATAAATGGTTTGGTGAACCACAATACTGTATACAGATAGTACAGTTGTTATGAAGGATCATTTTCAAAAACTAAATGTCCATTTTGCATCTAAAACATCATCATTTTCACCCCTACAAGTCATTTGTATTGGAAACAAGAATAAGGAAGAATTTTAACCCATTCCTCCTATTTTAAAACCTGGACAGTTGAAGAAATCAAGTACAAAAAATATAATGAGAAATAATTCGGATATCATTCTTTCCGTTACTTGGCAGCATTAAACTTTAGATGTTCAACATTGTGTATGTAGATTAGACATGATTATGGTCCCTCTTACCAAAACAAAACTAAAAGAGGAAAAGATGTGATAGGAAATAAGGACAAATAACAGGAATAGGAAGAGAAAACGAGTTACTTTAGGGGTCAGCTGTTCTACCACAACTTAGAAAGTCTAAACTAGAGAGACCTTTAGAAACTTGCTACAGGGGCTGGGTGCGGTGGTTCACACCTGTAATCCTGGCACTTTGGGAGGCTGTGGTGGGCAGATCACAAGGTCAGGAGTTTGAAACCAGCCTGGCCAACATAGTGAAACCTTGTCTGTGCTAAAAATACAAAAAATTAGCCAGATGTGGTGGTACATGCTTGTATTCCCAGCTACTCGGGAGGCTGAGGTGGGAGAATCACTCGAACCTGTGAGTCGGAGGTTGCAGTAAGCTGAGACCACTCCATTGCACTCCAGCCTAGTGACAAAGTGAGACTCCCTCTCAAAAAAAAATTTGCTACAAGGCACAAGGATCCTTGACAGCTAGGGTAGCGATCTAGATCAGTTAACTCACAATCTCCCGGGGTGAGACCCAGATATCAGTAGTCATTTTAAAACTCCCCAGAGACCAGCCTGGGCAACCTAGTGAGACCATCTCTACCAAAAAACTTTTTCTTCTTTTTTAATTAGCTGGGCATGATGATGGACACATGTAGTCTCAGATACTGGGGAGGGTAAGGTGGGAGGATCACTTCAGCCCAGGAGATCAAGGCTGCCCTAAGGTATGATTGTGTTACTACACTCCAGCCTGGGCCACAGAGCCTATCAAAAAAAGAAACACAAGGCTGGGTACAGTAGCTCATGCCTGTAATTTTAGCACTTTAGGAGGCCAAGGCAGGCAGATCACTTGAGGTCAGGAGTTCCAAACCAGCCTGGTCGACAGTGAAACCCCATCTCTACTAAAAATACAAAAAAATTAACGGAGTGTGGTGATGCATGCCCATAATCCCAGCTACTTGGGAGGCTGCAGCAGGAGAATCCCTTGAACCCATGTGGTGGAGGTTGCAGTGAGCCAAGATCACATCACTGCACTCCAGCCTGGGCAACAGAGTGAGACTCTGTCTCAAAGAAAAAAAAATTCCCTGAGTGATTCCAGCATGCAGTCACATTTGGAAACCACTCTTAGGGTGTATTTCTCTTATGTTTTACTTCATAGGATGCATATAAAAGGAATAACTGATTTGCCCCACTCGCCACATAGTTGACTACAAGACAAATAATATGAATATAAGGAAAGAATGAAGATGCTTGCATGCTTTTCCAGGACAGAAGACTTAAACACTAGTTTATACTTTTCTTCTCCATATTTAACGTAGTCTATAGTTAGAAATGAATGTTTTGAGTGATATAACAAATTAATCACTGAGTTTGCTGTTTCTCCCTATTTTAGAATGCTGCTTCTAAATTACCTGGGCAAAATTGGGCCCAAAACTCCTTTGATGGCAGCTGCAACTTTTTCCGTTGGTTGGAATACCTTCGCTTGCTCAGAGTCACTGGAAAAACCACTGAACTGGCTGCTTTTTAATTACTATTTGACAACCTGCCTTCAGTCTTCAGTTAATAAGTGAGTCATCTTTCAAATCTGTTGTCTCCAGGGCCGGGCATGGTAGTTTATGCCTGTAATCACAACAGTTTGGAAGGCTGAGGCGGGCGGATTGCCTGAGGTCAGGAATTTGAGACCAGGCTGGTCAACATGGTGAAACCCCGTCTCTACTAAAAAATACGAAAATTAGTTGGTGTAGTGGCAGGCACCTATAATTCCAGCTACTCAGGAGGCTGAGGAAGGAGAATCTCTTGAACCCAGGAGGCAGAGGTTGCAGTGAGCCAAGATCGTGCCATTGCACTCTAGCCTGGACAACAGAGCGAGACTCTGTCTCAAAAAAAACAAACTAGTGGCTGGGCGCCCTGGCTCACACCAGTAATCCCAGCACTCTGGGAGGCTGAAGGGGCTGGATCACCTGAGGTCAGGAGTTTGAGACCAGCCTGGCTAATAGGGTGAAACCTTGTTCCTTTTTTTTTAGAGGTGGGGTTTCACCGTGTTGGCCAGGTTGGTCTTGAACTCCTGACTTCAGATGATCCACCCGCCTTGTGCCCAGCCTAAATCCCGTTTCTACTAAAAATACAAAAAATTAGCCAGGTGTGGTAGTGCGCGCTTGTAATTCCAGCTACTCGGGAGGCTGAGGCAGGAGAATCCTTGAACCCAGGAGGCAGAGGTTGCAGTGAGCCAAGATCATGCCATTGCACTCCAGCTTGGGCAACAAGAGCAAAACTTCATCTCAAGAAAAAAAAGATAGGGTCTCTCTATTGCCCAAGCTGGAGTGCAGTGGTGTGATCATGGCTCACTGCAGCCTCAACCTCCTCATTTAAAGCAGTCCTCCCACCTCAGCCTCTCAAGTAGCTGGGACTACAGGCACATACCACCACACCGGGTTAATTTTTTAATGTTTTGTAGAGACAGGGTTTTGCCGTGTTGCCCAGGCCGTCTTGAACTCCTGAACTCAAGCGATCCATCCACTTCAGCCTCACAGAGTGCTAGGACTACAGATGTGAGCTACCTGCCCAGTGAAGATGTTTCTGTTTGCTTATTTCTTTATTTAATTTTTTTATTTTAATTTTTGTGGGTACATAGTAGGTGTATATATTTATAGGGTACCTTGAGATGTTTTGATACAGGTATGCAATGCATATAATCTATTTTTTATGACTGTTACCATGTACTTTTAAGTGAATTGATAAATATAAACTTTAAATTAAAAGTATTGTTGATTTGCACATGACTTACTGAAAATCATAGTAATCCTGAAAGTTGACATTAAACATTGGATTAGATTTTACCAGTCCAGGGAAAGTGGTTCATGCCTATAATCCTAGCCCTTTGGGAGGCTGAGGAGGGTGGATCCCTTGAGCCTGGGAATTCAAGACCAGCCTGGGCAACATGGTGAAACCCCATCTCTAAAAAAAAACCAACAAACAAACAAACAAAAAAAACACCATAAAATTGGTGGGGCGTGGTGACATGCACCTGTAGTCCCAGCTAATCTGGGGGCTGAAGTGGGAGGATCACTTAAGCCCAGCAGATTGAAGCTGCAGTGAGCCGTGATCATACACCACTACCCTCCAGCCTGGGTGACAAAGCAAGACCCTGTCTCAAAAAAAAAAGGACTTGAAGAAAGTATCTTCAGCACAACCATTACTATACTACCCCTACTGTATCTGATTAAGGAAATATGTATTGAGTACCAACTGTGCCTTGTACTAGGCTGTTTAGTAATTTGTTTTTGGGTCTTTTTAGTATGCTGGAGTAGGAATGACCTTGATTTTTACTTCTGAAATTCTTTTGTTCCAGGCACCGACATATGTTTGTAAAACAAGTTGATATGGATCATGTCATGAAGGTAGAAGAAAACTTTATGTAATACTTTTATTTCTTCTTTGGGGCAAGACTAGATGTAATTTGATTTTGTTTTCCAGGCTAAATCCATCAGAGAGTTTGATAAGCGATTCACTTCAGTCATGTTTGGATACCGAACAATTGATGATTATTACACTGATGCCAGTCCAAATCGTAGACTGAAGTCAGTAGGAATTCCAGTATTGTGTCTTAATTCTGTGGATGATGTTTTCTCACCCAGTCATGGTAAAATTTACATATTTGTATATATTTTGACATGAATTAACTTTTAATATATTGTTCTTTTCAAGAAAAGATAGTAGTATGAAAATGTATCATTTCCATTATGATAAAAAAAACCAGATACTCATAACAGTTAGTATCTAAATGTCTCAGATCACTGAAATATTTTCACAGAACCTTATCTAGTTCATTGTGAGAGGCTCAGAACAAATTATGACTCACTATTTTGCTCATTCTCGTTTTTATAACCTTTCCTTCTTATCAAATACACTGTTCTTTGGACAGATTATGTTACAGTCTCTTTGCCTCAAGAGAATATTGTCATCACTTGCCTCTTCCTGAGGTTCCTATACAGAAAAATTTGAAGTTTTTCTTCCCTTTTAAGCTGGAAGAGAACTTAAGACTTTATAAACACAGTGACTTTAAATATTTCAATTAGTGAATTATATTTGGACTAGAAGGTCATATTTGAAGGGAAACAGTCTTTCCTTTTCCCCTGAATACTGTATATAAGAAAATTAATTAGCTGGGTATGATGGTGTGTTCCATATACTTGGGAGGCCAAGGTGGGAGAATCACTTGAGCCCAGAAGTTCAAGGTTGCAATGAGCTATGACCATGCCACTGCACTCCAGCTTGAACAACAGAGTAAGACCCTTTCTCTTAAAAAAAGAAAATTATTCAAAAATGAATTTTCCTGCTTTCTTTTTTTTTGAGACATTTGTTTTTTGTTTATTTGAGCCGGAGTTTCACTCTGTTGTCCAGGCTGGAGTGCAATGCCATGATCTCAGCTCACTGCAACTTCCGCCTCTCAGGTTCAAGCAATTCTCCTGCCTCAGCCTCCCAAGTAGCTGAGATTACAAGCACCTGCCATCATGCCCAGCTAATTTTTGTATTTTTTAGAGACAGGGTTTCACCATGTTGGCCAGACTGGTCTCAAACTCCTGACCTCAGGTGATCCACCCGCCTTCGCCTCCCAAAGTGCTGGGATTACAGGCATGAGCCACCGTGCCCAGCCAACTTTCCCTCAAATACTTTATTTAAAAAATGGTTCTGACTATAAACATAATACATATGTTGTGAAAATTTCAGAAAATCCCCAATGTGTATGTGTATATATATATATTTTTAATTACCTATCATTTATCTAGGAGATTCTCTTTTATTATGTAATTTATGATTAATCACAGATAATCTTAGAAATCGAAACTTACGGCCTTGACCACAATTCAGAAAAATGAAACTGTGAACTTTAATATCAGTGGACTTACATGGTGATTGTTTTAGCATATTTTCATTGGATTTGGAGTCTAGTATTTCTCCACCCGTTTTTATATTTCACTGACCTTTCTGCCAACAAAAAATTCCCAACATTTTAACCTAACCCACTTGGGTGAAGTTTGAACTCATTATTTCCTTTACTTTCCCATGCCTTTAAAATAGTCTTGCCACATTGAAATAGTGGACAATTGTCTGCAGTCTGAGAGAACAGGCAGCCAGCATCTTTCACATGACTCAAATGTGGCCCAGCCTTTTGTTCTGATATGACTGTTACTCTCAGTGTTAGAAATTTCTGAATGTATCCAGAGTGTGAAGTTTAGGCTCTTAATAATTCCTTTAGAGGACGAATGAAACACTAAATGCTTGGTGAAAAAGGAAAAGCAAAAATAGTATCAATCATTCCATCTGAAGTTCCAACACCTGATACCAAGATAGATGTTCACTTCTAGGTGTTCTTCTTCCTTGGGATGGACGTAGTTAGCTAAGGACGTGAACTCAGGACCACTTTTTATTAAGAACTTAGCTTGTTGAGCCTTGCTTTAGGGCTATCAGTGTATTTTTCAGAGTGTTGTGAAGGGTCATTTAGAGCATTGTCTAAACAGGCAATTTGTGGAAGGGGCCCAGTTCTTTTATAGTGAATTTGAGCTGCTTTTTTCTCCTTACAAGGGGGTGGGGTAGAGAAGCTCTTTTGTTTAATTAGCTCATTTGCCCCTAAAATTCAGCCAAAGTTGTGAAATTCTAATTACTGCATATAAATGTGTGTGTGTGTGTGTATGTGTGTGTGAGAGAGAGACAGAGAGACAGGGTCTCGCTTTGTTGCCTAGATTGGAATCCAGTGACACTACCATAGTTTACTGAAGCCAGACCAAGTATAGTGGCTCAGGCCTATAATCCCAGCAGTTTGATAGGCTGAGATCGGTGGATCACCTGAGGTCAGGGGTTCAAAACCATCCTGACCATCATAGTGAAACCCCATGTCTACTAAAAAAAAAATACAAAATTAGCCAGGGGCGGTGGTGCACCATTGCACTCTACTCTGGGCAAAATTCCATCTCAAAAAAAAACAAAAACATAGTTATTGCAGCCTTAAACTCCTGGGCTCAAGCTGTCCTCGTACCTCAGCCTCAGCTAGGACTACAGGAGCATGCCACCACGGCAGACTTTTTTTGTTTTTAACATTTTTTGTAAAGACATGGTCAGTCTTGCTATGCTGCCCAGGCTAGTCTCAAACTCCTAGCTCCAAGTGATCCTCCCAAAGTGCTGAGATTACAGGCATGAGCCACCATGGTGGCCTCAACCATGTTATCTTACTTAGGGAGTCATAATTTTTAAAGTTTATACTCAGGCTGGGAGCAGTGGCTCACACCTGTAATCCCAGCACTTTGGGAGACCAAGGCAGGGTGATCAGCTGGGGTCAGGAGTTCAAGACCAGCCTGGCCAATATGGTGAAACCTCATCTCTACTGAAAATACAAAAATTAGCTGAGCATGGTGGCAGGCATCTGCAGTCCCAACTACTCGGGAGGCTGAGGCAGTAGGAGAATCACCTGAACCCAGGAAATGGAGATTTCATTGAGCTGAAATCTCCAGCCTGGGCCACAAAGCAAGACTCTGTCTCAAAAAATAAATAAATAAATAAAAATAAAGTTTATACTCAAGGTAGATTTGTAGAGCATATGAAAAGAGTCATTACTAGTAAATTATATTAAATACAGCAACTATGTTTTTGTTTTTGAAACAGAGTCTCATGGTGCCAGCCACCATGCCCAGCAAATTTTTTTGCATTTTTTGTAGAGATGGGGTTTCACCATGTTGACCAGGCTGGTCTCAAACTGCTGACCTCAAGTGATCCACCCACCTTGGCCTCTCAAAGTGCCTTGATTACAGGGATGAGCCACAGCAACCAGCCAGCAACTGTTTTTAAAACACTTTTCTGGCCAGGTGCAATGGCTCATGCCTGTAATCCCAGCACTTTAGGAGGCCGAGGCAGGCAGATCATGAGGTCAAGATATTGAGACCATCCTGGCTAACATAGTGAAACCCTATCTCTACTAAAAATACAAAAAATTAGCTGGGCATGGTGGTGTCCGCCTGTAGTCCCAGCTACTCAGGAGGCTGAGGCAGGAGAATCGCTTTAACCCGGGAGGCGGAGGTTGCAATGAGCCAAGATCATGACACTGCACTCCAGCCTGGGTGACAGAGCAAGACTCCATCTCAAAAAAAATAATAATAAAACACTTTTTCTTTGTCTTAACCATAAATAGAAATTCAGAGAAGGAAGAAGAAGAAAAATTCACCCATGTTTCATTGCCCAAAGCTAACACTGTTACCGTTTGAGAGAATTTCATTCCTTTTTGTTGTTGTTTTTATTATATAAATTATATTTATACTTTCAAATACTTAATACAACCACTAATTGGCCTGAGCAATCTAATATTATATAAGGTTCATTTGTTTGTTTGTTCTTTCCCTTTCTCTCCTTTCTTTCTTTTTTTTTTTTTGGTGGGAGGGACACAGTCTCGCTCTGTCACCAGGCTGGAGTGCAGCAATATGATCTTGGCTCACTGTAACCTCTGCCTCCTGGATTCAAGTGATTCTCCTGCCTCAGCCTCCCGAGTAGCTGGGACTACAGGTTCACGCCACCATGCCCAGCTAATTTTTGTATTTTTAGTAGAGACGGTTTCACCATGTTGGCCAAGATGGTCTCCATCTCTTGACTTCGTGATCCGCTCCACCTCGGCGTCCCAAAGTGCTTGGATTACAGGCGTGAGCCACCGTGCCCATTATGCCTCTTTCTTTCTCTCCTTCCCTCCCTCTGTCACTCTTTCTTTCTCTTTCTCTTTCTTCCTTCTTTCTTTCTTCCTACCTTTTTTCTTTCTTCCTTTCCTTCCTTCCCTGCTTCCTTTCCCTCCTTCCCTGCTTCCTTTCCCTCCCCTCCCCTCCCCTCCGTCCTTCCTTCCTTCTTCCTTTCCTTTCCTTCTCTTTTTTCTTTTCTTTTCTTTCTTTCAAGATGGGGTCTCACTATGTTGCCCAGGCTGGTCTCAAACTCTGAAGCTCAAGTGATCCTCTCACCTCATCTCCCAAAGATTACAAGCATGAGCCACCATGCCCAGACACATCATACAAAGTTAATCAAAATCATAAATAATGAATTTCCATAATTCTCACAAAGGTACTAAGCTTAGTTTTTTTCCTGCTATAACATCTCAGTGGGAATCTTATAGCATAATGTGAGGATTCACCGTTCCTTGAATTTTCTTACTTTAATTTCTCAAAATAAAACTTCACTTAATACTTTTGTGTTATGATTAAATCTTGGATTGATTCTTCCCAAAATGATTGTGCAGCACATGACCATATATATGAACTGTTGTAAGAATATAGATAGTTGAGGCTGGGCACGGTGGCTCAAGCCTGTAATCCCAGCACTTTGGGAGGCCGAGGCGGGTGGATCACAAGGTCAAGAGATCAAGACCATCCTGGTCAACATGGTGAAACCCCGTCTCTACTAAAGATACAAAAAATTAGCTGGGCATGGTGGTGTGTGCCTGTAATCCCAGCTACTCAGGAGGCTGAGGCAGGAGAATTGCCTGAACCCAGGAGGCGGAGGTTGTGGTGAGCCGAGATTGTGCCATTGCACTCCAGCCTGGGTAACAAGAGCGAAACTCCGTCTCAAAAAAAAAAAAAAATATATAGATAGATAGATAGATAGATAGATAGATAGATAGATAGATAGTTGATAGAATTTAGACTCATTTAACTGTGCTCATTACAAATATTTATATAATGGTGTTTTGATTTCTGTTTATTAGAAATGATAAAGTTATATACTTTTCCTAACAAAAACGTAATGATTATATTTTTATCTCTCCTTCTCTCTTATTGCCACCCTTTTTTTGGTCTGAAGCTATTCCAATAGAAACTGCTAAGCAAAACCCTAATGTTGCTTTGGTCCTTACTTCTTATGGAGGCCACATTGGTTTTCTGGAGGGAATCTGGCCAAGACAATCCACTTACATGGATCGCGTCTTCAAGCAATTTGTGCAAGCCATGGTTGAGCATGGACATGAACTCTCTAACATGTAGTTCTTTGGGTGCATTTTGTCCGAACCACAATTGTGAAGGCAGCTCAGCTTAGTGCACAAATTTTAACTACTGTATATAAAGCAAATAAGCCAGCAGATGGGTGAAGAGGTCCAGAATGATATGCAAAAACTACTTTTTAGAGAAACAAAACAACTTTGTAGCAACGAATTAAATATAGTATTAGATTGTTACTTATGTAGATTTTATTTTTACTATGCCTTACCAAGTACGACCTTAAACAAAGTAGTACGTACATGAAATTGCACTTAACCAAAACTATTGTGTAAAAAAATTTTAATTCCTCAGGGTTTTAATTTAGACTAGTATTTTTTTAGATTATTCATTTTAGGTGATTTAATGGTACTTTAATAACTGTTAAGAGATACTGGTTATTTGAATGTAAGTTATAAGTTGGTACATTCCTAGGGGTATTTATAGATAATGATGATAACATGAAAACTGAAATCAGATAAAATACAATGCGCTAAATCTTTTATGTATTCTAACTTTAAAAGGCAAGTGCAACAGTGTTAGACTGACTTCTATATGTACTCTTTTACTCTGATAATATTAAATTAGGGCTAACTTATGTTTTATAATGATTATAATTTACATGCTTATTTTTAAAATAGTATATGTGCACACATATATATCATTATATTAAAATAAATTCTACCATTTTAAATTGGTCTTTTGTGAGTTTTAATCTGCTAAAAGGACCCAGGAAGTAATCTATGATAATTTTATTAATGCATTAGTAAGAAACATTGATACTATTCCTCTTTACTGTTTTCAGAATATTGGGTTCATACCACTTGTACCAAATAAGGATATTTTCAGCTGCAAGAAACCTAACAGTGCCTTAAGGGAAAATGACTTCTTGTTTTGTTTTGTTTTGTTTTGTTTTGTTTTGTTTTGTTTTGTTTTGTTTTGTTTTGTGACGAGTCTCACTCTGTCACCCAGGCTGGAGTGCAGTGGTACAATCTCAGCTCACTGCAACCTCCACCTTCCAGATTCAAGTGATTCTCCTTCCTCAGCCTCCAGAGTAGGTGGGATTACAGGCACAGACCACCATGCCCAGCTAATTTTTTGTAGTTTTAGTAGAGATGGGGGTTTTACCGTGTTAGCCAGGATGGTCTCTATTTCCTGACCTTGTGATCCGCGTGCCCCAGCCTCCCAAAGTGCTGGGATTACAGGCATGAGCCTTCATGCCCGGCCAGGGAAAATGATATCTAATTAACTTGTATCATAAAAAGTCTCCTGTGTTCAAAGAAGGAAAAGGGAAAAGGAGTAGGGCCAGACACATATGCCTTTTGGGAAAGTGAAAACTTTTTTAGAAGACTTGCACTTGCATCCTTTAGCCAGAGCCCTGTCACATGGCCACCCAGATGGAGTGAGAGACTGGAAAAGGAAGTCATTTGCCAGTTACATACTTTATCAATCATAACGAAGGCAGGCAAGGGAAAAGGGGATTGGCAGTGGTTATTGGGCTAGCCAGTCAATAATGATAACTTCCACATTATTCAACATCCTTTCCCTCTTCATTACTTCAGCCTGTTGATAAAATACATATATTTTTTTCCTCAGGTATCATATTGAGAGAACCATGTACAAAAAAAGTATTAACAAAATTATTTACTAAAAATGCCACCATTTGGAGAATTCCTGATGATGTACTTGTAGACTCCCTTGATACTGTATCTAAGATGATAGCAATGATAACACCAGTGCTTTTTTGTCTGGACAGCATATATTCTGATTCGATCATAATAATTGCATTCAGTCTGTATGGATGAGGAGGCTGATCCTGCTTTTCAGAGTTATCTTCTAGATTTTTCAGGAGAATATCATGAAGGACACTTTTTGGGATTACAAACCTTAAGGACCATGGACTTCTGGTTTACAGGGAGCTGAAAGGAAAGAGGCAAGAGTCCTAAAGCCTTTATTTATATAAAACCTCTGCTTCTAGTCAGGCCAAACCCCTTTGACTTCCAAGTCACAAGAGCTAATAAATTCCTCTTTTCACTTTAAGTTGATATGCTTTCATTCACAACTCAGAAATCTGCCCATTATATTTAGGAATGAAATATGTGAATAAATCATGCCTAGATGAGAAAGCTCAGTTGTGAGCCTGTGGAAGGTGAGCTCTGCATCTCACGTATTTTATGTGCCAAAGCATGTACATAGTGCTTTGTAAATAGCTCCCTGAAATTATGGATTTTTAGGTATATATGGATGCTTGCTGGCGTGAATCATATTTTTTAACTTCTTTTCTTTTTTTGAGACCTGGCCTTAACTTCTTTATTGAGATGTAATTTAAAGCACACAATTTGGAGGTAGTACAGTAAGCATGTACCTGTGGTCCCTACTACTTGCCACTCAGGAGACTGAGCAGGAAGATCACCTGAGCCCAGGAGTTCGAGGCTGCAGTGAGCTATGATCACACTTGTAAATAGCTGCTGCACTCCAGCCTGAGCAACATAGCAAGACCCCATCTCTAAAAAATATTAAAGTGCATAATTCATTGGTGTGTGTTCACAGAGTTGTGTAGCCATCACCATAACCTAACTTTAGAACATTTCATCACCCTAAAAAAAAAAAAAAAAAAAAAAAACCCTCTACTCCTTTAGAAGTCACTAATCCCTCAGCCCTAGGCAACTGCTAATCTCTGTCTCTATAGATTTGCCTGTTCTGGGCTGTTTTATGTATATAGAATAAAACAAGGTATGCTCTTTTGTGATGGGCTTCTTCTACTTTGCATAATGTTTTAAAGGTTCAACCATATGTGGCATATACCAGTTCTTGACATTCCTTTTATGGATGCATAGTATTTCATTGTGCAGATATAGATTGCTGGGCATGGTGGCTCACATCGGTAATCCTAGCACTTTGGGAGGCCAAGGTGGGTAGATCACCTGAGGTTGGGAGTTTGAGATGAGCCTGACCAACATGGAGAAACCCTATCTCTACTAAAAATACGGAATTAGCTGGTCTGATGATGCATGCCTGTAATCCCAGCTACTCATGAGGCTGAGGCAGGAGAATCGCTTGAACCTGGGAGATAGAGGTTGCAGTGAGCCAAGAGCCAAGAATCATGCCATTGCACTCCAGCCTGGGCAACAAGAGCAAAACTCCATCTCAAAAAAAGAAAGAAACAGATATAGATAAATTTTGTTCATCAGTTGATGGACATGTAGGTTATTTCTACTTCTTTATGCTTTTTGGCTATTATGAATAATTTGGCAGTGAACATTTGTATAAAGCTTTTGTGTAGGCATATTTTTCATTTCTCTTGGGTATATTCCTGGTTGTATGATAAATCTACACTTAACTCTGAGGAACTACCAGGCTTTCCCAAAGCAACTCTACCATTTTACATTCCAACCAGCAATGTGCATTGGTTTTGATTTCTCCACATCCTCACCAACATTTATTGTATGTTTTATTTATTATAAATATCCTAGTGAATCTGAATTACAAGTTTTAATCATGATATTCTACCAAAACCAAAATATAAACTAGCATTGTAATGTTTAATGATTTAAAATTAACTACTAATGTAAAACAAAAATAAAATACAACTATACACACATATAACTGTGCTTCTTAGTTATAATGAGATGAATATTCTCAAGTACTGATTCTCTTACATGGAGGATAGATTATTCTCCCCAGCTGTTTCTTCACACACTAGCAAGCTCTGAGAAAGAAAGGCTGTGTTTTAATTATTTCTTACATCCCAAGGAATTAGCATATTGCCAAAAACACAGTAGTCAAAATTAGCTGAGTAATAGTTGTATAAACATGGAAATACCACTTTGTGAGCTGGTGCTTATTTTGAAAAGTTCATTTTAAGCATATTATGGCATTTTTTTCTAGTTTTCTTCTGTTTCTCTTGGTTATTGTCATTATGAAACATTTATCCAAAGTCTTCTCTATATAGAGCATTGTATTCAGCACTAGGGATGAAAATTGATATAGTAGTTTTCTTTTTTTTTTTCTTTTTTTTTGGTGGGAGGAGGTGGGGGAGAAGAGCCTCATACTTTTTTTATACCTCGAACCCAATAAGTAAATGCACATTTTTCCCCCCGACACAGAGTCTTGCTCTGTCGCCCAGGCTGGAGTGCAATGGTGCAATTCTCCTGCCTTAGCTTCCCAAGCAGCTGGGACTACAGGCACATGCCACTATACCGTGCTAATTTTTTGTATTTTTAGTAGAGACGGTCATTTCCCCATGTTGACCAGGCTGGTCTCAAATTTCTTACCTTGTGATCCTCCCACCTCAGCCTCCCAAAGTGCTGGGATTATAGGTGTGAGCCACCACACCTGACCAATAAACACACATTTTATAGAACAATACTCATATTACGTGCGATATAGTCTCATATTTTCCAGCCCATCCTATTCTTGTCTGGTCTATTTTATTACTTGAACTACCCTGTTATCTTTTTTTTCAAGACACTGTCTCACTCTGTCACATTGGCTAGAGTGCAGTGGTGCAATCTCAGCTCATTGCAACCTCTGCTCCCAGTTCAAGCAATTCTCCTGCCTCAGCCTCCTGATGAGCTGAGATTACAGGCACCTGCCAACACATCTGGCTAACTTTTGTATTTTTAGTAGAGACAGGGTTTCACCATGTTGGTCAGGCTGGTCTCGAACTGCTGACCTCAGGTGATCTGCCCACCTTGGCCTTCCAGAGTGCTGGGATTACAGGTGTGAGCCACCACAACTGGCCCCTTTATTTTTAAAATGAAAGAGGCTGGGCGCAGTGGTTCACGCCTGTAATGCCAGCACTCTGGGAGGCTGAGGCAGGCAGATCACCTAAGGAGTTCAAGACCAGTGTGGACAACATGGGGAAAACCCATCTCTACTAAAAGTACAAAAATTAGCTGGGCATGGTGACACACACCTCTAATTCCAGCTACTTGGGATGCTGATGCACAAGAATCGCTTGAACCCTGGAGGCGGAGGTCATAGTAAGCAGAGATCATAACACTGTACTCCAGCCTGGGTGAGGGAGTGAGACTCAGTCTCAAATAAATAGATAAAAATCAGGGTAAAAATGTATTTTTGAGACATACCAATGGGTTGCAACCTGCAGTTCGAAAATACCGGAGATTCCTGGGCAGAAAAGCACCATGAATCTTAACGCCACTGTTTTAGGTGGCGCAGTGGGTTGCTCAGATTCTGGTGCTGGGAATCAACTAGTTGGACATCCACTCAGAGACCTAATTTGAAAGTCGTTAATTACAAAGACGACAGGTGGATATACTTACAATGACGGGAAGAAACCAGTGTAAAAAGGCTAAGAATACCCAAAATCAGAATGCCTCTCCCTCTACAGGGGATCACAGTTCCTCATCAACAAGGGAACAAGGCCTGATGGAGAACGAGTGCATTCCATTAACAGAATCAGGCTTCAGAAGGTGGATAATAAACTGCTGTGAGTTAAAAGAACATGTTCTAGCCCAATGTAAAGAAACTAAGAACCTTGAAAAAAGGTTTGATGAAATCCTAACAAGAATAGACAATTTAGAGAGGAATATAAGTGAATTAATGGAACTGAAGAATACAATAGGAGAACTCCATGAAGTATGCACAGGTTTGAACAGTCGAATTGATCAAGCAGAAAGGATATCAGAGGTCGAAGACCAACTTAATGAAATGAAACGAGAAGACAAGATT